TGTAATTCCCAATAAAAAAAAGTCTCTGGTTTAAAGTCTATATATTTTCGTGTCATTTTCTCCAACCACGTGTGGATCTTAGTCCAATATTTTTTGGCTTCTGCACAAATCCACCACACATGGTAATATGAGCCCGGTGTCTGATGACATTTTCAACACTTTTCTGACTTGTTCTTGAACATTCTTGCTATTCTCGTCAGAGGTAGATGCCACCTGTAAAACATCTTATACAAATTTTCTTTATATGCTGTTGACATTGTCATTTTGTAATTTTGAGACCACAATTTCTGCCACTTCTCTAATTCAATCCCATGCCCCAAATTTTCCCCCCAAGCTATCATAGTTCCTTTAACTTGTTCTTCTTCTAACTTAAACTCTAGTAAGTGTCCATAAAGTTTTTAAATTACTTTTTCATCAGTAAGAGTCATGTTTGTTAAATGGGCAGCTATATAAATGTGAAGCGTAAATAAAAGTTTAGCGCTAGTTCGTTTTTGAATTACTGAGCATTTCTGTACTTACAGCTATGGGTACTAGGCCAGAATTCAAGTCGATCACTAGGGGGCAGCAAAAAACTAGAGATTTTTATACCTCTTTGCTGTCTTCTAATGCAGGTCACCAACTGGTGGTCTGCAGAAAAATTATTTGAATTTTTTATATTGCAATAAATCAGGGGTCTTACAGCCCCTGGGCTGGATTCGTGCAATGACCGCTTGTGTTGCTGCAGAGAGTTCTCCCCCTTTGGGGTCTTTTTGTGAGTCCTTCTCATTCTGCTCCAAGAAATAAGCTCTCTTCTGTTGTGAACTGCCAGCGGCCAGCAGAGCTGGCAGCAGAATCAGACAATGAGGAGGTTGGGGAGGAACAGGGGCCAGTCCTGGAGGCTGGGGAAGGCTCTGATGAGGACTCTGTGTGGGAGGCAAAGATGGGGCCAAGGCCGTCTGGTAGTTCTCAGCTGCCTTCGGAGCTAGACAGCAGTGAGGCTGAGGAACAGCTGGAGCCTCTTCCCAATGTGTGCATGCACAGAGCTGCCAGAAGAAAAGAACATCTCAGAAATCAGGGTTGACTTGGGAGTAAAGCCACAGGTGGACGGTGAATGGACCCTCCCATAGGAAATAAAAGAGGAGCGAAAGGGGAGTGGGCTTTTGCAGGAAATGGTTCATTTGTTTGTTCGTTCATTTCAGGAGTGTGAAGATCTGTCCGGGAATCTCAGAGACTCTGTGCCCAGTGTTTCCTTGCACAGCACTGCATTTGGAAAATATTTACATGGCAGCTTTCCGAGCTAGATAAGGCCTGTGGTCATAACTTCACCTTTGAAATACTGTTTGCCAGCCCTTTGCTGAATGTGAATGAGAGGAATTCACATTCGTTTAATAAAAGGGGTTTTGTCAGGACCAGGAATCTGCTCCGTGTTTTTTGGGGAAGCCTCAGTCAGAACAGCTCCAGGCTTTATTGCTTTCACCAGAAATTATAAGTCCAGGCTCTGCTCAGGGGGAGAAGACAGCTGGTAGCAATAGCCTCAGCTGACCTTCATAGAACGGACGTTAGCAGAAGTTCCAGGCCATCCAACCGAAAGATCCCTATGAAAAGGGGCATTAGTGTAGAAGGTTGTGAACATCTCAAAGATAGTAGACATCACTTCCAATCTAGTCCCTTCCCCACCAATTTTCAGATTCCGAAGGCAATTTTAAATACCGCCATTCCTGGCATTCTGGAACCCATCGGCTTTTGGGGAGAAGCACATATCGAGCCAAAGTTAAACCATATGCCTTATTATTTGTTTTACAAGGAAACGTAACCACAAAATCTCTTCCTTTGGCATCAGTGGGATTTAAAAAGGCTCATCTTTTAAATAATTCTTTTAAGAGGGGGGAAAAAACACTTCACGGTTTGTTTCTATTGCTCCCCTCTGGGAGGAGGGTTCGAAGTATCCCTAGAAGCACTATCTGATTCTGTAACAGCTTTGCTCCTTATGGCATCCATCTGGTAAACTCACAAGATCCGTTTTTCTCGCCATGTGCATGTACACATTCAAACTAGACTGTGTTGCTTCATATATGTGGGTATATGCATAATTTTGTACTTGTTTATTTATTTTGTCATGTTCATGTAGTGTATATTGGAGGTGAAGACCCTTTGAGAGCTCTATTCAATAAAATTTCATTTTAATGTATGCCAATTAGTGTACACTCAAAGTGACAATAAAAATATTCTAGGCTCTGAGTCTAATAGGAACCATCTTTAGACTATACTGGTAGTCCTCCACTTACAACTGTTCATTTAGTGACCAAAGTTACAATGGCACTGAAAAAAAAGTGACTTCTGACCATTTTCGCACTTTCACACAGTTATAGAGTCTGACATCTGCACCTCTATAATTGTCTGGTTTGGTTCTGCAACCCAACAAGGCAGACACAGACTTCAGAAGATAATTAGAACTGCAGGAAAAAACAATTGCTACCAACCTGCCTTCCATTGAGGACCTGTATAATGCACAAGTCGAAAAGAGGGCTGAGAAAATATCTACAGACCCCTCACATCCTGGACATANTGCCATGCCTGTCTCTTGCAGTTGCAAAAAATCCTCTCTGCTCGATGACCGTAATTCATCTGGAGTCCTAGTTACTAAAATGTGAAGTTAACTGCTTGCATTATAATGCAGTGTATCCTGAACAATAATTGATTGCACAAATCAGCTTTAAGATGGGAGGGTAATGCTTCTGGGTAGCCTTGAAAACCTTCACTATTCCATCTTTTATATTGCAGTATTTTATGATGATGACCTAACAGATGCTTTTTTCAAAACACTGTCCCGAATCACTCGCAACCTGAGGAATTCTTGCACCGTCTACTTCTCTATGGAAAAGAGGTTGGTGATGCATTTAAGATGCACCATAACATAAATAGGGCGTCTTGTTTGTCACAAACCAAGCAAAAACATAGCTTGCAACTAAGGCAACATTTGCTTCTCTGAGTTTCCAGCACAATCACAATCATCGTAGAAAAATACCAAGCAATGATTTTAAATCGTTTTCATTTCTGGACCAGTTTAGAAAGGGCCTTTAGTTTACAGATAATTCTCAATTAGAAAACCACAAGCTTCAGACCTTGTGGGGGCTCCCATCCCTGGGGGTTTTTAAGAAGAGACTAGACAGCCACTTGTCTGGAATGGTATAGGGACTCTTGCTTGAGCAGGAGGCTGGACGAGAAGACCTCCAAGGCCCCTTCCGGATCTATTCTGATTCTGAAGACCAGAATCTCCATTGCCAAACAAGACGTTTGTTAAATGAGTCTCACCCGATGTTACAATTTTTTACCACAGTTGCTAAGTGAATCAGAGTCGTCATTAAGCGAATCCTATTTACCCATTGACTTTGCTTAACAGAAGCTGTCTTGAAAGGTCAGAAATCATGATCACCTGACCCCAGGATGCTGCAACTATTGTAAATGCATGCTGGTTGCCAAAAACCCAAAACATTGATCATGTGACTGTGATGGTTGCAAGTGCATAAGTCACTTCTTTCGGCCCTTTTGTACCTTTGAATGCTCACAAATGGTTGTAAGTTGGGAATTGTCTGTATTCCAGCATGGCGTCTGTACTATGAGCAGGTTAGAAATTCTACAAAAGGAGTTGACCTTTTTCTCCTCCCTCCCTTTGACTTCACTGTCTTGACTTTATCTCGTTCCAGCTTTTGAAGCTGAATAAAGTGGACATGTAAGCATTCTCTTTCTAGAGGTTTTGACCTGAAAAAAGTTCAGAACAGCAATAGGCACTAACAACGCAGGATCTTCACCTTTGGCAGTGTTATCTAAGTACTGTTGTGGCCCACCAGCAGAGCTGGCAGCAGATTCGGACAGTGAGGAGGTTGGGGAGGAACATGGGCCTGTCCTGGAGTCTGGGGAAGGCTTTGATGAGTGTTGGAGGCAGAGAGGGGGCCAGAGCCGTATGCCAGTTATCAGCTGCCTTCAGAGTCAGACATCAGTGAGGCAGATGAACAGCTGGAGCCTGTTCCCAGTGCGCACATGTGCAAAGTTGCCAGACGAAGGGAACAGCTAAAGGACGAGGGTCGACTTAGGAGTAAGGCCACAGGTAGACAATGAATGGCCCCTCCCAGACAGAATAAAAGAGGGGAGAAAGGAGAGTGGAGTTTGCAGGAGACAATTAGTTCGCTTAATTGGTTCATGACTCTCCGGGGCTCCTTGTCAAGTTTTGTCAAGTTCGGCCTGTCAGCTCTCCAAGCCAGATAAGGTCTATGACTGTAAATCCTCCCTTGAAAGACTTTGGTGGATGTAAATGAGCAGAATTCAGAGTCAATTAATAAAAGGGCTTTGTGTGGGGACGAGGAGTTTGCTTCAGGCTCTTGGGATGCCTCGGTCAGAACAAGTACAGGCGATTTGCTTGTTCTCTGTAACTCCAGCATCTCCTGTCAGGTTGATTTTATATTCTGATGCCTTTTGCTGTCATTTGGGGGCGAAGATGCAGCCACATTTAGAAAAAAGATCTCTTTGAAACTGTTCTGAGATGCTTTATGGGATGTGTTTGCCCAGGTTCAACTTCACTTTAAGACAAATGGACGTTGTGTGCGAAGCCTATAATCACTTCCGGAGTACTTTGGAAGAGCTGCTGAAAACCAGCGATGGCGAGATGAGATACCGCGTTCAGCCCGTAGAGCTGTCTTTTCCACAGCATATTGTTTACGAGCGAGTTCCGCAACTGGTGGGTATCAGTGTTGGCAAACTACTCCCCTGGTGCAATCATACAAGCGGTAGAAAGCCAGGATGATAGAACAAGCACAGGACAAGAAACAATGGATGGAAACTAATCAAGGAAAGAAGCAAACTAGCACCAGGGAGAAATTTCCTTACAGTGAGAACAATTAACCAGTATAATGGCTTGCCTTCTGAAGTTGTGAATGCTCCAACACTGGAAGTTTTTAAAAAGAGAGGGGACAATCATTTGCCTGAAATGGTGTAGGGCAGTGACAGCTTTTTCTCCTTGCATGCTGAAATCGGGCACATGCACGGGCCCACACCCATAATGCATTGCGCCCTGTCCCCTGCACATGTGCGTGCTCTCCCCCCCACCCCCATGTATCCCCCCGCAAGCATGCTCATGACCCCCATGTGCCCTGTTTTGGCCTAGCAAGCCTCCCTGAAGCCTCCTGGGACCAAAAACACACCACTGGAGTGGGGAGGGCACCGCACCTCCACCACCCCGCACTCCCCCCTCCCATGCATGCATGCACGTCTCCACGTGTGGCAGAGACCTGAAAATCGGCTGGCTGGTAGGAGGCATGCGCAGTGGAGCTGAGTTGGGCGATGGTTCGCATACCCGCAAAGAAGGCTCCTCGTGCCATCTCTGGCATGCGTGCCACAGGTTCTCCATCATGGGTATATTCTTTGAAGCCTCCGGAGGGCGAAAAACCAGCCCTACAGGCAAACTGGAAGTCCAGGAACTGACTTCTGGTTTGCTCGTAGGGCCATTTTCTGCACTCCAGAGCCTTCAGGAGGCTTCCCTAAAGGCTCCGGAGGACAAAAAAACTGCTCTACAAGCAAACCAGAAGTCTGTTCCTGAACTTCTGGTTTGCCCATATGGCTAATTTTTTCCCCTCCAGAGGGCCTCCAGGAGGTATGGGAGCTGTTTTCACCCTCCCCAGGCTCCTAGAAAGCCTCTGGGGCCTGAAGAGGGCGAAAAAAGTACGCCAGAAGCAGTGTGTGTGTGTGTGTGTGTGTGTGTGACACGCTGTATGCACACTGGGTGCATAACTATGGGTATGGCACGCCCACACACTACTCCCCTGCTTTTGGCACGCAATCCAAAAAAGGTTAGCCTGTCAGCGTTTCAAATATCTTACAGAATTAAATCAGAGTCCAAGGCAGAGCTATCCTTAAAGTTCCAATTTAATAAGACAGACATGTTGGCAACAAACTCTGGAATCCCAAATCTAAAAGCTTCCTGGGATTCCACCCAGTTGAAAGTTCCTGATCTTATGCCCACCCCCATAAATCCATCACATGGTCCAATCTTCTTCGGCCATGCTGGCATCTCCACCCAGCTGGTTCCGGTCAGGTGCAGAGGTGCCAAGACAAAAGATGACCTTGGCTTCTAGAAAGGAATGACAACAATGCATTCCACAATTCTACTCCTTTCTATTCCCCCTCCCAATTTCTACACTAATGAAACAGGATAATGAAATAAGAGAGAGTGTGGCAGGCCAAAGATCCTAAGAAGGAATATAACCACAGGCCTGACATAGCCATCACTTGTATAGGGTCTCCTGCTTGAGTAGGGGGTTGGACTAGAAGGCCTCCAAGGTTCCTTCCGTTACGCTATTCCATTCTATTGCTTTCCAACTCTGCTATTCACATTATTTTTGTATTCGTTGCCTTGCTGCATTGGTAAAACAGCTTGTATAATCTTCCCCCGACCCATTGTTTCCAATACACACACAGAGAACATACTAGATTTTACTCTTCTGTTTGTGAACTGTTGTGCCAGTTTGATGTAAGCAGTCTTAAAAACACCTGGATTGAGCAAGGACAGTTACAAAACGTTCCCCTGCTGGACGCCTGTATTTGAACTTCTGAGCTCTACAAAGAAAGACAAACATTGAATAAGCCTTATGAATTGTTTCCATGCTGGCCTATTGTAAAACTGGAACATGTTGCACAGAATGGTGTGTGATGTGCTGCAGCCCATATCTGATTTGAGTAAGGAGTTGGGGACTGATTGGTTACAGCAGTTTGGCTGCAATTGCATCTCCATCAAGTGTTGAGGAAGAAACAGGCTGATCCCAGATCCTGTTTTAATGTATGAAACATAATGTAGAACTTCGGGGGAGGCGGAAGTTTCTTCTTGCTTTCCCATCCTCATAAACAATGGTACAGTCCTGAATTGTATGAGAGCCCTAAAGGATGTTGAATATCTTTCCTTTGGTAGGAGCTGTGGAAGCTTAGTGCCCAGAAGATACTCGACGGATCCCATCCTCAGCCCCCAAGAGACTAAAAGAAGACACAGTGGCTTCTCTCAACTGATCTTACGATCTAAAGGCCTTGTTAAACGGAATAAGGAAGCAGATAGAATTCAGGCCCATGTCAAAAACAGATTAAATACATACGGTGTCCATGATAGTAATACGTTGGTTGTGATTTGCAAATGATGTCAGCCATGATGGGATTGCTATATTGTTAAGGGAGTGCAAAAGGTCGGCAGAAAAGGTATTCTCAGAGGGCGTTGGCTGTTCAGGCTTCCAGATGTGACCACAGCACAGCACAACAGAACATCAGGGATCACTTTTGGCATTTTTCTGGTCCAGAAGATTTAGTCTCAAAGTCTCTCTCTTGTCATTAAGACATGAAGAGCAACACATCCTCAAAATGTTGGAAATGTAAACAATCACCAGGCACCTCCTATCTATCACATGGGGTGGACCTGTAAAAAAGCAAAGAGATTTTGGTTACAAATTCAGATGTGGCTAGAAAAAATGGTTGGACAACATATAGAATTCAAGCCAGATTTATTTCTGTTGGGTATTATTACAAAAGGCAAAGGGTCAATATACCTAATATTTCACATCCTAATAGCAGCGAGAATGGTGTATGCCCAGCAATGGAAAAGTGAAAATACCCCCTTTTAAAGGAGATAATAACGAAGATATTAACAAGTGCAGAAAAGGATAGACTAACACTAGAATTAAAAAAAACAAAGGAGAGACAGAATATTATGACACATGGAACTACCAGCAAAAAGGAGTCCTTACATTAAAAGAGCACCTGTCATTTCAGATCCATCCTGGCAGAGCCTGTTAGCGGGCATCCACTCACCTGCGGCCATGTCCCTCACCTTGTTGTGTCCCTGCCACATCACCATTAAAGTGAATGGGGCTGTCGGTGAGTCAACAGCAGGTCAGAAGGAGCTGCTGCAGGACTGAAGTGACTCTAAAAATTATGATTTAAATCGAGTTGATTTAAGTGATGATTTTTTGCTAGTGATTTGATTTCAATCCAACCCACCCTGCTGTAAACTGCTTAGAGAGGGCTCTAGATCACTGAAGCGCTATACAAGTCTTAAGTACTAAGTGTTATTGCTGAAGACATCTCAGCCATTCAGTCGATGCTGCTGGACCCTCTTTGAAAATGATTTGCTTTGAGTTTCTCTCCTATACTGAAATGTCTTCTCAGCATTGTGAGAATTCAGATCCTTGAACTATGGCAGTCCTCCTGTGAATTGAACCAGGCCTTCCTAAGATTTGTTTCCTACGTTTATCAGATCAGATCAGTGGTGGGAGTCAGCCAGTTCGCACCTATTTGGGAGAACCAGTTGTTAACTTTCTAAGCAGTTCAGAGAACCGGTTGTTGGAAGAAATCTCAATTTATTTTTTCCCACTTGACAGGGCTAATCCTGTAAGGAAGGCAGGAAGGAAACATTCTGGTGGTGAGCACAGAGAAGAAAAAAACACATCTATAGAAGCACCGGTGCTTAATGTTGGCAGTGAGATGCTCTTACAATACGTACTCATCTCTCTTAAACTTTTCCATACTGATTAACCCCGTACAATAAATACTGGGATTTTTATGAGGGTTAAGTTTTCTACAACGCCCTTACAACCATTTCTCTACTCTTAAGACTATTTCTTCACTGTACAGAAGCAACAAAAAACTGCTCAGAGAAATTAACAAATCTTGCCACTAGGTGTCACTGTGAACTGGTGATGGCTGAGCTTTATTGAGTAACCAGTTAGCTTCCACCTACATCCTGTGATGGGGAACCTGTGGCAAGTGTGAGCCCTTTCTGTGGGCATGCGAGCCATCATCCCAGCTCAGCATTACCACACATGGCCAGCTGATTTTTGGGTCTCTGCCATGCATGTGCGGGGTGTATGCATGGAGGGGGGGCGTGTTTCGTGCATTTGTAGGGGGAAAGGTCAGGAGGGGTGTTGCATGTGGATTGCATTATGGGTGCAACGCAACGACAAAAAGGTTAGCCCTCACTGACCTAGATAAACCCTGGACTCCACAATTCACCCCTTTCTATCAGTGTCTTAACATTTCTCCGTTTATTTTTCCCTTCGTCACTAAAAGTTCAGTTTGTTTGATCTTAACATCGCCCCGTTGACCTGGAACTTCTAATCCTTCCTTCTTTCTCATGCCAGGTATTGATTTTTGGTGAGGACAAGGAACATGACATGTACTTTCAATAAAATTGCCAATACAGGTGTACAAATGAGGCTTGGTTAAGCTTAGAAAAGTCTTGCCCGCCAAATAAAAGGCCATCTCTCTCTCCCTCTCTCTCTCTCTCTCCCTCTCTCTCTCTCTCTCTCTCCCTCCCTCCCTCCCTCCCTCTCCCTCTCCCTCTCCCTCCTCTCTCCCTCTCCCTTAATCCAGCATTGCTAAGGGGGTTGGACTGGATGTCCTCTAAGGTCCCCTCCAATTCTCATCATTCCGTAGTTCAGATACAGATTAACAGAGTTCGGAAGGGATCTTGTAGGTCATCTGCCCAAGCAAGAGTCTTAGAGTTCCTTCGGGGGAAAGATCTTTTTTTCCAAAACTATGGCGACTCCAACTAGTTGCAAATCTGAAATGTACAGGATATCATCTTCCCATTGAAACGCCCCATTGTGTCCAAGGGAGCTACCAGGTGGAACCTGGGGCGGGGGGGGGGGGGGCAATGTCATCACACGGTGTCCACGAAGACGTGAAGAAATGTTAGATTTAAGATATGTTAGATTTAAATCTTGAGTTACATCTTGGGGGTCCGTGGCCATAAAAGGTATTTAAAGGTGTGTGTGGGGGGTCTGGTAAAGAAAAGGTTGGGAACACCTACTTGTTCCTGTATCTTCAGTCTGAACCCCCAAACTCTGCCCTCCATTTCTGTGAGTCTCACACACACAGAGACACACACACCACTTCACAACTCATCCTCCAAACTCCGTAGAATACCTCTGCATAGTCCCAGTTCCAGTAACAAGTATTTCTCCATGTTTCTAATGAGTCAGATGCAAGTTAAAGTTCTGATTTAACAGATTAACAGAGTTGGGGGGGACCTGATAGGTCATCAAGTCCAACCCTTCCACCCAAACAGGAGAACCTACACCTCTGATGGGGAACCCATGGCACGCATGCCACAGGTGGCGTGCAGTGCCTTCTCTGCAGGCACGCCAGCCATCATCCCAGCCCAGCTCCACTGTGCATGCACACATGCCTCCCGCTGGCCAGCTGATTTTCAGGTTTCTGCCATGCATGCATGGGGGTGGGGCACATGCAGGGGATGTGTGTGCGCGAGTGTGGGGGGGCACCCACCTTGCATTTTAGAGTTTTGAGTGCATGCTTGTTTGTTTGTTTTGTTTGTTTGTTTTATTTATTTATAGGCCGCCCTTTTCCCNCAGCTTCGGCTAACCTAGTAGTTCAAACACATGTAAAAAATGCAAGTAGAAAAATAAGTGCCACCTATGGTGGGAAGGGAACAGCGCTCCGTGAGCCTTCGGCATTTAGTCATGCCGGCCACATGACCACGGAGACGTCTTCGGACAGTGCTGGCTCTTCCGCTTTGAAAGGGAGATGAGCACCACCCCCTAGAGTCGGGAATGACTAGCACATATGTACGAGGGGAACCTTTACCTTTTAGCTGACCAGCGTTTACAGTGATTGCAGCATCCCACAGTTACATGACCTCTCCAATTTACAACATTTATAATATGGCTGCGGAATTCTGGAAGTTGAAGTCCCCACGTCTTAAAAGTTGCACAGTTGAGAAACACTGCTGTCCAAGGTTCGTTTTTCGCTTTTGGGCAGAAGACAGTCTCTATATTTTTATTATAATGGCAAACAGGTCATACTTCAATTCTCTCCATTTCTGATTCTCACTCTTCCTACTCTGATAGAATGCAAATTATGCATTTTCCTAACAATATCTGAAGAGAAGTATTTTTCATTTCTGCCTTTTTGTATTTGTCTTTTCTGAGCTTTATGTTCTGACCAAGGCTTCCCAAGAGCCTGAAGCAAACTCCTGGTCCCGACACAAACGCCTTTTATTAATTTAGTGTGAATTCTGCTCCTTCACATCCAGGAAAGTCTTTCAAGGGAGGATTTACAGTCACAGACCTTATCTGGCTTGGAGAGCTGACAGGCCGATATCTGCAAAACAAGGAGTCTTGGAGAGTCACGAATCAATTAAGCGAACTAATTGTCTCCTGCAAACTCCACTCCCCTTTCGCTCCTCTTTTATTCCCTTTGGGAGGGGCCATTCATTGTCCACCTGTGGCCATACTCCCAAGTCGACCCCTGTCCTTTAGCTGTTCCCTTCGTCTGGCAACTCTGCGCATGCGCACACTGGGAACAGGCTCCAGCTATTCATCTGCCCCACGGATCTCTGAGTCCGAAGGCAGCTGATAAGTGTTAGACGGCTCTGGGCCCCTCTCTGCCTCCCAACACAGAGCCCTCATCAGAGCCTTCCCCAGACTCCAGGACTCTTCCTCCCCAGCTTCCTCACTGTCTGACTCTGCCGCCAGCTCCGCATTTTATTGCAAAAGCAGTTTTGAGGAGAATACATTGGGAGGAGGAGGGATAATGAATTTGGACTAATGGAAAAGATTCTTCGTTTGTTTTGCTGTTCCAGAGCACACCATGGCGACCCCTTTAGAAGATGTTGGGAAGCAGGTAGGAAGCATGTCTGCTGTCCATTTCCCATCTTTTTTTAAGTCCGCCCCACATACGATCTTTCTCTCTGGTTTTGAAGGTCTGGCGAGGAGCTTTCCTGCTTGCCGATTACATCCTCGGGAAGCAAGATTTGTTCAAGGGTTGCACAGTGCTGGAGCTTGGAGGAGGAATCGGACTTGTCAGCATCATCGTGGCCAAAGCTGCCAAAACCATTTACTGCACAGGTATCTCTTTAGTAAAACTCTTTGGGTGGTTTGGGATATACTCCCACCCTCAAAATGATGCTGTAGGGCACTGCCCGTCAGAACAACTAGACACAAGGACTGTTTTTCCCCCTAGTATAATTTATGTTGATTGCTTATTCAGTTTCCATGACTACCCCTAAGTGTTGTATCTAATGTTTTATAATGAATATATATATTACAATGACTATGATAATGATCTATCACTATTGTTGTATGTACACTGAGAGCTTATGCACTGGAACAAATTCTTTTCATATCTAATCACACTTGGCCAATAAAGAATTATATTATGTACTGTTCCTATTCCACTCCTATTCTACCTATTCCTATTCTTTCCTATTCCTATTCCATTCTATTCCTATTCTATTCTTTCCTTTTCCTAATTTCTTGTTCTGTTCTATTCCTATTTCATTTCAGTTCATTCCTTATTCCTACTCTACTTTACTCTAAATACATTCTATTCTATTCCTATTCCATTTCATTCTATTCTATTCTGCACTCTATTCCTATCCTTTCCTATTCTATTCTTCATTCCAATATTCTATTCTATTCAAAACAACATTTCAAAAAGGGGTCCCATGGTTTTAAAATGCCTACAATAGTCCTCAATTTATAACCATTTGTTTAGTGGCCACAGAAGTGCTTAAAAAATGACTTATGACTGTCACAGCATTCGCGCTGTCATGGAGTCACTATTTGGATGCCTAATGACCCCAAGGAAAAAAGGTCATAAAACCAATCCTGACTTAGTAGATGACCACACTGCTTGTGGCAGTCCCAGCCCAATTGTCATAAGCTGAGGACTACCTGGTATCCTTTTACTTTGGTTAACTCAGCATGAAATTATTATTAGATACTTATTCTGCCTCTTATTTATTGAAGGACACATACATTGGTCAACTCAAGATGGCAAACATACATATGAAAAGGGTCATGGAAATCACTGACCATCACAGGCAGAGGGATACCCTTACGACAAATTAAAGGAAGGGGAGGGGGCACTTTCCCTTTTCCCATTCCCAATTGCCCCCGCCAGCAAACATACATAATATCCTGTCTCTTATTTTCACCCAAAACAACAACCTTGTGAGTGAGATTGGGCTGAGAGAGAGGGGAGGGTGGGGGGACTGGCCCAAAGTCATGCAGCTGCTTTCATGCCTAAGGCGGAACTAGAATTCACAGTTCTTCGGGTGATTGGCCGAAAATCACCCAGCTGGCTTCCATGCCTAACGTGGGACTAAAACTTCACCGTCTCCTGACTTCCAGGGCAGCGCATTCCCCAAACTGGCTCTTTGGAATTCTGATATATCTCATCTTTTTTTGTTCTTAAAGATGTTGGTGAAGACCTGCTGAACATGTGTGAACGAAATGTAGCCTTAAACAAACACATCACTGAGCCAACAGGTAAAAAATGAGTCACTTCCACTGACTATGAGAGGGATCTGATGCTGAACAAACCTACATAGGATTATATCACAATGTGCTTTCAAGATTGGTCAATGTTTTCACATCCAGCAAACTAAAACAAGCATCAAATCTGAGAAGTATTATTTAGTGGTAGGTAGCTCATGCACTTAACCGTGTTTTTTGGAGTATAAGACGCACATTCCCCCCCCCCTCCCCCCAAAAAGAGGGTGAAAATCTGGGTGTGTCTTATACACTGAATACAGCATTTTTGACCTCCTGAAACCTTGCCCCTTTCACAAAAATGGATGTGCAGAGGCTTTGGGAGGTTTGTAGAGTGCTCCTGGGGGCACCTCTCAAAGCCTATTCATGCCCTGTTTTTTGCAAAAAAATGGACTGTTTTTTGCTCGTTAGTGGGGGGGCATCCCCCAGGAGCACTTTGCAGGCCTCTCAAACTCTCCATGCCCCGTTTTTCACAAAAAAATGACGCATGCGGAGGATTTTGGAGGCCTGCAGAATGCAAACACTTTTTTTTCAATTTACCTCTTTAAAATCTTGGTGCATCTTGTACTCCGGTGCGTCTTATGGTCCCAAAAATACGGTACTTGCAATCTATTTTAAAGTGTATGCTCTTGAGGCCTGCTTCTGGATAAGTGGCTAATATTGTTTTATCATTTTAGTCTGGGTGTTGGAAGCTCTATAGAAGAACAAATTTTGAACCAAAAAAATATATTAGTCCCCTGTCTATCCTTCAGTCCTCATGGTTCCCAGTGGATATCTGACAGAGTATTTGTGTGCTACACTTTCTTCTCTTGATTGAATAAAAATGTACTGCATTCCTCTAACTCAGGGGTGTCAAACTCGTGTCGTCACAGCAGTGTTACGTGACATACGTATTGGGACTCCCCCCCCCCCTTCACTAAAGATGCATTTAGTACCATATTTCCCTGAAAATAAGCCCTAATGCATCTTTTGGAGCAGAAATTGATATAAAACCCAGTCTTATTTGGGGGGAAATACGGTAGTCACATGATTGCAATTTGGGCTCTTGGCAGACAACTCACATTCACAACACAATCTCCCGCAGCTACATGATCACAGTTGGCAACTTTCACAGCCAGCTTCCAACAAACAAAGTTTATAGGGAAAACCAGATTCATTTAAAAGCCACGTGCTTCGATTTACAACCGTGGTGATTCGCTTAACAGCCACAGTAAAAATGGTTGTAAAATCAGTCCCAAGCATGTGACCAGCTTAGCAACAATGGCGGTTGTAAGTTGAGGACCATCTGTATAAGAAGCACATCATAACAGCATTGCCGCTATGTTCTTGTTTATTTTTTGTATCGTTTGTATCCTAATAGTTTTCTTGACCACTTATTCCTTTGCGGATTTTTAGGAAGTGAAATTAGAGTTAAAAAGCTGGATTGGCAGCAAGACGATTTCTGCACTGGTGCGTAAAACTTCTCTACAGCTGGTTTTGAGGGTTTCTTTCCAATCTCTCATTTAAAACTCAGGATTTATCTGAGATGATGACACTAAAGGCCTTGCCTATGAGCATGTGCAAAATACATTTCTGCCCTTCATTGAGTAAACCATAGTGTTGCTTGGCTTAATTGAGAGGTCAAAGTCCTGAAGAACAGGATGCAAAATTGAGGTTGTCACAGACAAACCTAAATCTTCATGTAAAGAAGAGAGAGAGAGAGAGTGTCCTCAAACCCCCTTTTTTATTTAAACGGCTGTGAATTATGTTCATTCACAGCCCATAATGATTCACAAACAGTTTGCGAAGAGTCCAACAGGCGTCTGCCAAAGTCTTTCAGGGTAAGGCGGATAAGCACCCACTTTTATCTCCCTTGAAATGCTGCCAGAGACCTAATTGCCAATTAGTTTTGCAAGGCCAAACAGAGCACAGAGTCAAATGGAGCTTCAGAACAGGCTCCCCCTGTTCTTCTGCCTCACTGATGTGAGGCTCCGGAGGCAGCACATAACTCCCAGATGGCGCTGGCCCCCTCTCTGCCTCCGACACAGCCCTCATCAAAGCCTTCCCCAGACTCCAGGACTGGCCCATGTTCCTCCCCAACCTCCTCACTGTCCGACTCTGCTGCCAGCTCCGAGAGCCCCTAGCGGACTACAACACCCCGGGCTGTCCTTTACTGTTTCCAGGCTAGCCCTGAGGGCCAAATCCGGCCCGTGGGCCATGAGTTTGACAACTCTGCTTTAGACAGTTTGGGATATGCAGTAAATAAGTATTGTATACCTCCCCCCCCCCTCCCCACTTTTGCTGTAGATCCTGAGGATTGCTTTAGCTGGTCCGAAAAAGAGATTGCTGAACTGCATGACCTCACCACTGTGATACTGGCTGCTGATGGTACGAAAAAGGTTTGGGAATGGATTGAGGCTATAAAAACATGCTAATCAGCCTTAACGAGATTGGAATGTCAGAACCAGGTTGATTCAGTGATTTAAAGTGATAGTTGCTTCAGGTAAGGATGTGCAGTAATCTTTCAGTTCAGTAGACTTGGCTGCCAGTCAATTTGACAAAACTCAGGTTCACACTCTGCTTCAAATTGGCTCAGAAATTTAAATTATCGGAGGAACAGCTATGAAATCACAACCGCATATTTGTGCAGCTCTGATAACACTCTGGTTTTTTTAAAAACATTTGTTTATTCATGTCAAAAGCATCCCAATTAAGATAAGGCATACTGTACAACATGAAGTTTAAAATACAAAATACAAAATTAAAACAGGTGCAAGTTAAACAGATCTTGCCCAGAACATTTTTAATGAAGTGTTTGGAATCATTATTTAAAAGAAAACTTCTTTTTTCTCCCAAAAGTTTTATTAATTTATCATAATATAAAAGAAAAGAAAAGAAAAAATGAAATAAGGGAGGAAAAGGGAGAAGAGGGGTGTGGCAGCCTAGAGATAGAGCTCTCATCTTACATTCAGGAGGCTGTGAATTCAATCCTAGGTAGAGACAGATATTTCTCTCTCTGGGCACGTTGAGATTATATCTGCTGAATATAACTCCGCATTGGCGACAGGAAGGGCATCTGGCCAGTAAATACTCAGCTCCATTCAGTTGCACAGACTCTGCCTTGCAAGGAATTATGGGGTCGTTAAAAGAAGGTGATTATGATGGTGACATGGATGATTGAGAATCTCCAAAGACATCAAGACAATGAACTTATATCCACTGCATCTTCCTCCTCCTATTATTGCATAAAAGTCTCTCAGTGAAATTAAAAATTAAATGTGTAGCTACTTGGCAGATCTGTGTGTGTGTGTGTGTGTGTGTGTGTGTGTGTGTGTGTGTGTGTGTGTGTGTGTGTGTGTGTGTGTTGCCATGCCTGTCTCTTGCAGTTGCAAAAAATCCTCTCTGCTCGATGACCGTAATTCATCTGGAGTCCTAGTTACTAAAATGTGAAGTTAACTGCTTGCATTANGACCTACAAGGTCCCTTCCAACTCTGTTAATCTGTTAAACCCGTTAAATTGCAAGTGTTGATCTGCAGAAATTCTGGTTGATCAGTCCTGTAACTCTCTGATCACGATGACCTTTCCTTGTTAGCCAGCCAAGTCCTCTCCCGGCTAAATTTTATCTAGAGATATTTCTGCTGAAGTAAGCACACTCCAATCTCTGCCCCCACACACAGCACCTAAGAGAAAGCAAGAAAGGGACATCAGAATTAGTTTGCTACCAACAGGAGTTGTTTGGGATGCCAAAGAATTTATCACACTACAGGTAGTCCCCGACTTACAACGGTTCGTTTAAAAAAGTGACTTAGGACCATTTTTCACATGTACCACAATTTACCTTCAAATGCTTGACAACTGGTTCCTATTTATGACGGTTGCAGTGTCCCAGAGTCATGTGCAGGGGTGGGCTTCAAAAATTTCATCAAACTGTCTGGTTGCTGGGTGGGCGTGGCCTACTCAGCCTCCTGCACCATGGCGGGGAGGGTGTTTTCACCCTCCCGGGGCTCCAGAGGCTTTCTTCAAGCCTCTGGGAGGGAGAAAATGGCCTCCCCTGGGCTCCAGAGGCCCTCCGGAGGTCGGAAATGGGCTTGTTTCTGGATTTCCAGAACTTCCGGGAGGCCCGTTTTTCACCCTCCCAGAGCCTTTGCATGAGCCCTGCACTTAGCTCATATCCAAAACGGGCTGCGTGGACACTTCTGGGAGGGGAGGGGTGGGTGGGGCCAGCCAGTCATTGCAACTGTTGGTTCAGCGAACCAAATTAAACCAAACCAGTCCAAACCAGTTGAATCCCACCCCCGACTCATGTGACCATGTTTTTGGGAACTTCTGCCAAGAAAAGTCAATGGGGAAACCGGATTCACTTAACCTCATTTGATCATTGCACTGATTCACTTAACACACGTGGCAAGAGAAATGGTAAAGCGGTGACAAAACTCACTTAACCAATTTCTCACTCAGGCCCATAAATTCTGGGCTCAGTTGTGGCTGTACATCAAGGATCACCTGTACAAAATACTTGACTTCCAACTATTCATTTAGCGACCATTCAAAGTTGCAAGAACACTTAAAAAAGTGAATTATGACCAGTCTTCACGCTTACGAACATTACAGTACACACCCTCCCCAATGGTTGTGTGTTCAAAATATGGGCACTTGGCAACTGTGTTTATGACAGTTGCAGCATCCTGGGGTCATGCTATCACCATCGATGACCTTGTGGCTTCTGACAAGCAGAGTTGATTAACAGATTATCAGAGTTGGAAGGGGCCTTGTAGGTCATCTAATCCAACCCCCACCCACCCAAGCAGGAGACCCTAACACCATTTNAGGGGAAGCTTTACCTTTAGTCTCCCTTTATTTATTTTTCAGTAAACATAAATTTTCTATCCATTGCTTTTTCTCCTGCCTCTTCTTTCTGACAGCCCCTGAAATATTGGAACATTGCTATCATTTCACCCCCAGTGCTTTTTTTCACCAGACTTAAACGTAAAGGTAAAAGTTCCCCTTACACATATGTGGTAGTCATTCCCAACGCTAGGTGGCAGTCATCTTTGTTTCAAAGCCGAAGAGCCAGCGCTGTCCGAAGATGTCTCTGTGGCATGTGGCCGGCATGACTAAATGCCGAAGACACACAGAACACTGTTCCCTTCCCACCAAAGGTGGTTCCTATTTTTCTACTTGCATTTTTACCTGCTTTTGAACTGCTAGGTTGGCAGAAGCTGGGACAAAGAACGGGAGCTCATTCCATTATGCGGTTCTAGGGATTCGAACTGCTGAACAGCCAACCTTCTGATCGACAAGCTCAGCGCCTTAGCCACTGAGCCATCGCGTCCCTATATCAACAGACAGAGACATACCCAATTCCTGCACTTTTCTCTCTGCCGATAATTCTTCTTACAATGTGCTTTTGTCAAATCCTGCAGAAAACACTCCATCTTTTTCTCCAGTCCTGACTATTTTCTCTGTGTCCCTCTTGAACGTTATACATGGAAATCTCAGCAGAAAAGGCCCATTTCTACCAGAGCTTTGATCCACTGCCTGTTGGCCTCCGATTGCCTTGGTGCACTGTAATTAAAATGCCAACTCCCTTGAGCATTCATGACTCAGCGGAGAGATTGGAAGGACGACTTTAGAACAATAAAGATAATAAGAGGGAGAGGAGGGGAATTAGAGATACGGGAAAATTGCTGCATCAAAAGAGCAAAAGCACCCGTTACTCAATATTAAAATGGGACAATGCTTTCAACTCGAGAATTTGAGAAAAGAAATCTATTTGGCACTTGAAAGCAACTGCCTGTTTTGCAGTTATTGCAAAATTTTCCTTCTCCCCCCAACCATTGAGATTTTTATACAAAATTTTACCTCCAAATGTTTACGTTTGCTTTGGGAGGCTAATACACCATCTCCTATGACCAATTGAATGACAATTGTTAAACATTAGCATGGGTCAAATGATGTAAATGTAAAGGTTCTCCCCGCACATATGTGCTAGTCATTCTTGACTCTAGGGGGAGGTGCTGATCTCCGTTTCTAAACCGAAGAGCCAGCGCTGTCCAAAGACGTCTCTGTGGTCATGGCAACAGCACAGAACACTGTTACCTTCCCACCAAAGGTGATTCCTATTTTTCTACTTGCATTTCTTATGTGCTTTCAAACTGCTAGGTTGGCAGAAGCTGGGACAAGTAACAGGAGCTCACTCCGTTACATGGCGCTAGGGATTAGAACTGCTGAACTGCTAACCTAAGTGACAAGCTCAGCATCTTAGCCACTGCTTTGTTGTAGTTGTTAGTTGTGAAGTTGTGTCCGACCCATCACGACCCCATGGACAATGTTCCTCCAAGCCTTCCTGTCCTCTACCATCCTCTGGAGTCCAATTAAGCTCAAGCCTATTGCTTCAATGACTCCATCCAGCCACCTCATTCTCTGCTGTCCCCTTCTTCTTTTGCCCTCCATCGTTCCCAGTATTAGGNAGGAGACTGGTGAGGCCCCGCCCCCCTTGCCTCTAGTGACTGCACATCCCTGGTAGCAACGGTCGTAAGCGTGAAAAACAGCCATAAGTCACTTCCGTCAGTGCTGTTGTCATTTGGAACAGTTGCTAGATGAATGTATGTTGCAAGTCGAGGAATGTTATCTGTTGCTGTAAACAACAAGGCCTTGAAAATGGCCAGGAAATGGAAAAATAAGTGTTGTGATTAGGCAGTGTGATATCTAAGGGTTGGCTGTTCTGTTGCTGGAGGTTTTTAAGAAGAGATTGGACAGCCACTTATCTGAAATGGCATCGGTTCTCCTGCTTTGAGCAGGGGGCTGGGCTAAAAGACCTCCAAGGTCCCTTCCATCTCCTATTCTATTCTATTCTATTCAAATTTTGAGGGGGAGAATCAGATAAATGGATCAGGTAATATTGTGGCCTTCTCCCCCCCCCCCCCGGCATTATCTTTAATTTGGGGGTATGGCTATTTGGAGCAGCAAATATCCTTGTGTGCATTTCTCTAGCCATCTGCCGCCGTCTTTTAAACCTCCAGTAATCTTGAGTTAAGATGGGCGGCCTATAAATTTTATAAATAAACAAGTAGAATATTCATTTCCCTGAAATGGGTATTTTGTGCTTTGCAAGCACAAATCTATGAATTCATATTTCCAGCTCTGATCGGTTCTGCTTTCTGCTTTGTTCCTTGCCCAAATTTCTTGGGGAAGAGTCTCATCTATGCTTTCAATGAAGCGATGCAAAATATTGAACATTTTTTGTGTGTATGCTAATTTTGGAGTTTTCGAAGCCTTCCTGCCTTGAGCTCAGGTTCTTAGTTAGGGCTAGGGTTAGGGTTACTGCCTTCCAAGTCAGAAGTGGGTTCCCACTGGTTCGGACCGGTTCAGCCGAGTAAGTAGTAACTCAGCCTGCCACACCCCCGAACCACTTCTATCGGTGCCACCGTAGGCATTGCCATCTTGTTTTTTACTTCTATGCATGCGCAGAAGCATTTTTTTACTACTGTGCATGTGTGCATAGCGCGCATGAAGACATCCCTGAGCGAACCAGCAGTAGCAGAAGCCAGAACCCAACCCTGTTCCAAGTCCATAGATAGTGGGTTTGACTAGCCTTGCCGGCAGGGGATTTCACTTATTGTGCTTGCAACGTCTGGCAGTGCAGTTGGGGAAGACGGAGGAGAAGCAAGCCACCTTCCAGAATTTGCTACGCTGTGAAACAAGGAAGTCTTTTCAGTGCTGGTGGGCTCCCCGCTGACTAACAGCCCCCAAATATTATTTCCACCAAACAGGTGTTACGTTGCCAACAGCTGCTGAGTTCTTCTTCTGAAAAAGAGCAGAAAGCTCTTTTTTGGCAACTGTCGTTTCCCCAGCCGTGCAAGTTGTGGTTGGCATGATCCCACAGTTCATTAAGGGAGCATGTGACGGGGCTCATAAATTCCTGCACGACTCTTGTTGATGGCCCCAGCCTGGTGCACTGGTTAGTGATGTGAGTGAGGATAATGGAGGCTTTTGCTGTGGCCTTTGGAGCAGAGGGGCTACCAAGGATCTTCCTGGAGAAGCTATGAGAGGCAAGGATTGCCTGCAGCTTAAGAGAGAGAGATGGATTAACAGGGTTGGAAGGGACCTTGTAGCTGCCTCCGTTCAAAACAGAGGTGGATTCCTACCAGTTTGGACTGGTTCAATTGAGTAACTCAGTAACTCGGCCTGCCACGCCCCTGAACTGGTTCACACCTACGGCAACGCCATCTTGTTTTTTTTAAGTACTGTGCATGCATAGTGCGCATCAAGCACGTGAGC